ACTCTAAGCAGCTGTATCTTAAAGTTCCATCTTTTCTATTCACTCCCCTTCCAACACAGGTTAACATCTCCTGTGTTGAGGCCATACAGTGGAGCAGGGTGTCTGATATCTACCAGGCATTTAACAAGTTTTAGAAAATATATTCAATGAATAAAAGATTTCTGCCTTGTAAGAGAGGATAAAAGGTTCTGTCTAAAACTGAAATTCCTGTCTCAGAAGACTCCCAAAAGTTTACGACAGCAATGCTGATCTTCACACATAAGGAGAACCTACCGCCACTCTCCCCCAGGACAGCGACTGTGAAGCTGGTGGGTTTGCGTGGGAGGTCCACTCTTTCTCCCCAACCTCTGAGAACCCCTATGGCAGTGAACTGCTTTACTGATGAATCTGGAACCTCCCTCATTAGGGACAACTACTGGGAATCCTGCTGTATTGACGCTGTATTATCTCCTGTGTGCCAAAGGCATGCCACCCTTCTTGCTCCCCTCGCCCCACTGACATTCTGCAGTCAAGGCCCCGGAAGCACTCAGCATCTTCTCCATCCTTGTCTTACTTACCCAGTTACACGCTGTCCTTCCACACCACACAGACCTCTGGGGCTCCTCTCTGGCAGCTTAGCCTCACCAGCTGTATGACCTCGGACAAGATACTTAGTTTGTCTTAACTATATGTCCTCAACTTCAAGAAGAGTTAAAACTGCCAGGATGTACACAGTGCCTTACATGGAGGAAGCAGCCAGTGAATGGTAACCATTACTATTATTTATTCTTTGGTCTGACTTATCTTCCATCCCAAAACCCACACCGGCTTCCAGGGCTTTCCTAACAAATCAAAAGGTCCATGACTTCACCTCCTTCTGTTTGGGTTGGTGGAGTCAGCCTGATCCTTTTCTGTCTGCAGATTCTCAACTTTTGACCAGCCTATTTTCTAGCCCCAAGAATGTTCATTTTCCATATGCTCCCCAGCTGGCTACCAGCTCAGTCTCCTAAGGGTTAAACTTGTGTTCTGGAGCATTCTTTTCAAACATTACCCTTCCTTTAAAAACTTCAATGCATTAATGGTTAGGATATCAAAGCAACTACACACACACATACATGCATGGACATACATGCATGCAAAGACACATACATGTGTGCAAACACACACATGCCCACCCACCTCCATACATCTCCATGTGAAAAGTCATCGAACTCATTAGGCTGCTTCACAATTTTCCAAAAATCTTTTATGTTTTCTTGCCCCAGAGACTTCTGTAATTGAACACGTAATGCCATTGCTGAACTCTGCAACAATCAACTCAGCCAAACTCATCCACCTCTAGAAAAGACTTGGTATCTTTGGGCCACTGCCTTCTCCACCTCCTTACTCCTCCCTACGGCAGGCACATCTGTGCTTGCTTCATTAGCCTTCCATATGTTGTAGCCAAATACAGGCCAAGGGCTGAAGGCAGCAAATCGACAGTCCTTCAGAGTGCTCCAACCTGCTCTGTGGTTCTCTTGTTCCAAGCTGGGCTGACCTTCATCTGGAACCAACCAAAAACCCAGGGTTTCCAGTTACCACAGAGGCACTTGCATTCAGCTCAGTGTGAAACACATTCGCCTTTTGAGAAGTCCACTCACCCACTGTAACCTGAGAAGGCCTGTGTAAGGACTTCCGGTCTCCTTAGATTTGTGTGTGGGGACTTTGAGGAAGAGGGTCAGGCTGAAGAAGATTCCAGTAAGAGAGTCAGTCTTCAGTAGCTGTGGCAATTCCTGGGTCTGTGGAATTAAGCATGTTCAAGGCCCTCTGGCCAGGGTTGTTGGGGGTGAGGCAGGGAGAGTAGACAGTTGTCTGTTCAGGCTTCATAGTATGCTCTGAGGTGGAGCTGAGCCTTGCCAACACCCTGGTATTGGCATTGCACACCCAGGGCTGTTAGACCTTGAAGCCTGGGAGATGCATCTTCCTGGCGAAGCCAGACAAATCTCCAGGTAGCCATAAACAGACTACACAGATTTCACGCTCAAACACATGTTCAAAGGTGATAAAAATACATGCAGATGGCTTCTCCAAGTCTCAATGCAGGGTTTTTACATTGAGTAAATGAACAAAAAAGAATACATGAAAACACACACCCGGGAAAGGGACCCAGTAAAGAAATCCTCAAAAATGCCAAACTCTCAAACACCAACCTGGAGAAAGCATTGTTGGATACAAGAGAGAGGCAAGGAGGAAGGGAGGAGGCAGGGGAGAGAATGAGAACAAGAACAAAGCTGTATCATAAATTGCAAGAAGGAATAAAACACACACACACTCTCTCTCTTCCGAAGATCAGGTAGGTTGCTAGTAGTTTTGCTGAGAAGAGTTAGCAATCCTTTCCTTGTATGTAAACTGAGAAGGATTCAAGGCCTGTCAGTGAGACTGGCCACTGGTACTGAGCAAATGCGACCCTGGGCACTGCCTCCCATGGGACAGAGGCTTGATACACTTCTCCTGCGGAGTTGCGGATTCCTACCAGAATTCCAGGATGAGGGTCCCTGAAAATCCCACAAAAGCTAGTTGTTGTCATTGTCATCATCATGTTACACTCAGGGCTTCCTATATGTCAGGAACTGGAAGTTTTCATTACATTGCAAAACAGTCTAATAAAATAAGCACCATTTTCATTTTATAGAGGGAACAGAGGCTCAGAGAGGTTAAGTAACTTGCTCAAGTTCACACAGCCCACAAATGGGGGAACCTTAAGAGGCAGATAAGAGGGTAGAGAGAAGCCACCACCCATGGCCAGCAGAGCTGCTCAGCTTCACATTCTCTAAGGAAGTGAGCATTGTCCAGTCTGCAGTAGAATCTCACGATACAGAAAGCTCCTGTTAGGACAGCGTTGTCACATGGCCGGAACCCTGGAGATCCTTTCAGGAAGGTTTTCTTTCACTCCTCCCCAGTTCATTTTCTCCTCGGAGCCACACTTGGACTTGAAGCATGCTGCTCCAGACTGCTCTGGACACACAAGCAAACCCCTTCCATTCGAGGCAGGACCCAGGCTCAGCCCTGCCGCTTAAGGACTGTGGCTTTGCAGGCTGGGACCTGGGGCCTCTGTCACTTAAGCCCATCTCTCCAGGCAGACAGACACTCTAGACCAGCTCTCTACTCATTTGGAAGAGAAGTTCCAGAAAAGGAACATAAGTTCCAGCCTGAGAACAGGGCTTGGGTCAAACATAAGCCTCCCATTATCCTATCAGTGGGTTTGCTGTGTTTTTGCTATAGGCTCATGAAGATACAAAAGGATTCCATGCAGAGAATTAGGCTTTTCATTTCACTAGGATTTTAATGTTTATTCTGAAATGCAATGTGCCACGCAGAAGGCGGAGAGCGAGGCACTAGTGAGGGGGAAACAGATTGTGTCATCATTCAGACAGGGATTTAAATCTTCACTTGCCTACTTATCTGCTCAGAGGTCATGGGCAAGTTAAATTCCCAAGTCTCAGTTTCCCCATCTGTTAACTGGAGATGATCGTGACTACCTCAAAGGACCTGTGGCCACTGGGGGTGGACATCTTTGGAAGTGCCTCCCACACAGTGGACACGGGGGGCAAATTTCTCATTTCCTGCCCTCCTCTAGGCACCTAGAGCTGAGTGCAGTGTAACAATGCTCTCAAGCAGATCACTGCTACTTGCTGAGCCTGTTTCAAAGGCTCATGGCATATGAAGGACACATCTCCTATCAGGCACGTGTTAGAGAGGTCTTGGGGCACAGGCTGCTCCCGATGCAGAGAGCACGCCTGGACCCTGAAAGCAGGGCGGTCCAGGGAAGGCCCGGGGCAGGGGGGCAAGGCAGGGACGGCAGCTGCCGCAGTGGGATGGGGGCACCCTGCATCGACGACAAGATGGGAGAGGAGATTCCTTAGGCTCCAGCCTTAAGAGCTTGGGGGACTAGTGTCCTCTTCAAGCCTGTGGTGGCTGGACAGGTGTGGCCATCCCCACAGGGACCCCTCAGCTGCTGTGACCCTTCCGGGACCCAGAAGGCACTAGGGAGATTCCTTCCATTTGAGCTTTTACGCTGCAAAGTGATGAACCAACCAAAAATGATACAGAAGCACACAATAGCTGAGAAAGGAGGGGAGGGGAGGGGCGGAGGGACTGTCCCTCTTGAATGCCTACCCGTGCCAGACGTCTACAGGGGTTATTTAGCTGAATCCCTGGTAAAGCCCTGTGAGGTAGGCAGAATCCCATCTGACTTTCTGACCTGAGAGATGCCGGATCAAGGCAGCTTCCAAGCTGTGCTCCAAGTCAGCTGGGAGGAGCAGAACTTGAACCCAGGCCTGACTGCAAAGTGGAGCCGTTTCTAATTCCTACTGCAGGTCTAGGAGGCGCCACCAAGGGAGGCGCCACCAGGGGAGGCGCCAAAGGATCTCCAAGGAGTAAATCCTTTCCTGTGTGTAGATTATTCACAAGCCATTTCAGTCTGCTTCTGGGAAATCATATAATTATTCTGTTACAAATAGTTAAATTTTTTCCCTATGTATCGAAAGAATGAAAACCACTTACAAAAGCAAAACAAACACCAAAACCAAAAAAAAAAAATTTTTTTTTCAACTCTTCAACAACCCCAAACAACAAATGTGCTGAAAAGAAACTTCCAAAACTAAAATTGCCAAGTTTGACTTTGCTGTAATTGTTCCAGGACATACCGCTGGGGCGAACCATCATTCTGATTGGCAAAGCTGACAGCAGAGAAAGGAAGATGAGTTCTTGACAGTGAACTTGCTGCTGCCTGAATTGAGAGCAGGGCTGAAAGCTACCAGGTATCTTTTTCAACGGAGGTGATAAAAGCGCTTCTAATTAATCCATCAAACAGGAAGTATACCATGGGGGGGGGGGGCGCGGTATTACTGCGTCTACACACAACTCTGACATCATCTGATTTTAACAAGTTTACTAAAACGACAGCCATGGCCTTGACAATACTGAATGCAAAATACTGGTGTACACAGATTTTACAGAGCGGCTCCTGAGAGCTGGGTCACAAAATAAGGTTTAACAGATGGGAGAGGCCTGAGGGAAGGCAAGCACACTGATTTTATTGAGAAAAAAGCTTATATACTGTAGGGTTGCTGAAGTTTAATAAATAAAGGTCAACTTATAATATATAAAAACAATATAAACATTTATATGCTACATGCATATCATATAATTTAAAGTAATAATTTATATATGGGGAGAGACGCCAATTTATGTTCTTCCAATTTTTCTCGACAAGGCACACACACAGGAGGTGTCTATCCGTATCCACCGCCAGCCTACGAGTTTATTGTTTTCTGACGTCAGTGCTCGGACATAGGTTTGGGACGTTTTGCACTGAGAGTTCCAGTGTTTATCGTCAATCCCCCTGCAACCGTTTTTGACGGGCCTGGCTTCTTTACATCTCGTCTCATAAAAATATTGTTTGACGGGAGAGTTGCCGGTTTTGATCTCCCCCAGCACCGTGACCTGGTGTCCCCGAATGTCGATGGCCGATGACTTGTCGGTCACCCACAGACTCTCGCTGTCACACACGGAGTACTCCCCTCGGTGACTCTTGTGCTCTGCGTACCTCTTCCGCCGCGATGTTCTGTTCGCCACCACAGGGTTGCCCACGTAATCCTCCATGAGATACAAGGGAGGGGGCTCCAAGGGGGTGCTGTCACTCAGCAGGACCCGGGGTGAGTTGTAGCGTCTCTGTTGCCGCAGCAGTTCTGTGTCCATTGCAATCATCGGCTGGAATTCCGACTTGGCGGGCTCGCCCTGCTCCGGCTCTCGGGGGGCCTCTGCTTTGGGCAGGGTGCTCTGGTAGTTTTCCTTAACGTCCACCATCTGCTTGGAAAGCTTGTTTTTCAAAATATCTGCCTGGATCAGCTTAATTATCAGGGAATTTAGTGAGTCTTCTGGCAAACTCCTTTGATCCATGTTGTTACCTTGGATGCCACGGAGATAAGCGAGAAATATCACATAAAACAAGATGGACATCACCTTGTTCACCTGTAAGATCTGAAAAGGAAACACAGGTGTTACTAGCAGGCTGTGGTAGCTGACGTCATTCTGGGACCAGCAACCTGAGGTCAAGTGTCCCTGTGTGGATAAGAGGGAAAAGGGTGTCACCATTCTGGGTGAGCAAACAGAACTCTCTGACATCCAGAGACAGAGCCCGTCACTCTCTGTCCCCAGCCTTGGGAAATGCTGCCTTCTTGCCACTCTTCTGAATCTCTACAGTGCCTTTCTCTCCCAGACCTCCAAGTGCCTGTAGCTCCTCTCTCTTCTAACGCTGCGGCTGTGTGATAGGGAATGAGATGTGTGTTGTGTGTGGACATGTGTGCATGCGCGTGTTGTATAAGCGTAAGGGACAGGGCAAAGCATGTTTTTTTAACAAAAGAAACGAAAAACGTAAGTGGAGAGAATTACAGTTTCAAAGGGTTAGGTCTCTTCCTAGGCCCCAGGCCCCAAAGGTCTCTGCAGGGTAAGGACCACGCTCCAGCCCTTGGCCTCCGCTTTCCCCCAGACAGCTCGCCCCCTGCACTTGCACCTGACGTCCTCTCCACCTGCGGCCTTCTGCAGCATGTGGGCAATGTCCTGCCACTTCTTTAAACATCACTTGAGCCTGAAAAGACCATCGCCTACTCCGCCTTGGCAAAATATGAAGAAACTGAACCTGAAAATTATAAATGCGTCTTTATAGCCTTTTATTGGCTGAAACAGCCTTGTAAATGTCTCAAGAAACAGAGCTTACTGTCCCCAGCTGCAGGCCCTGGGGCTCCCAAAGGAATGCCCTGAGGCTGGGGGCTGGGTTGGTTACTTCTATATTGTAACATCAGAGATGGGCTCCTCCCTGGCTGGGCCCCGCCTGATAGGGCTGTTCTCCTACCCTTGGAAACGAACATGTGGGGCCACCACCTGCTCTATGAGAGGGCCTGAGTTTCCGGGTGCTCTGCCAGGCTCTCCAGTGAACATGCTGCCCCAGGACACCCAACAGTTCCCCAGAGACCATCTTCACAAGATGGACAGCAGAAGATGCAGCAGCAGCAGCAGCAGCAATCAGCTGAAATTAATGAGCTGGACTTGCCCCAAACAGCACGATTCCTCGCTGATTAATTTTTCTTATTTGGCTTATAAATGTTTTCATTACAAAATGTTTCTTGCAGTGGTTAGAATTCTAATTCTGCTATCTCCTTGTTTAAATGACATTTTAACCCATCAACACTTTTATTCTCTTGCCATAGTAGAACCTCAACACCGGGTTTCCACAGAGTCCTTGGGGAGTGGGGAGTCAGTGGGCTGATCTCAAGACACCTTCCTTGCTGGCGTCTCTCTCACTAGAGCAAAGCCCAGATTTTCGAAGCCTGGCCCTGGAAGGAGACTCTCAGGGTGGCTGCACAAGTCATCCCAACCTGGACCCTGTGATCCACACCACCCGCCCACCCATGGAGGCAGCAATTCTTTAATTATCATCACTACCATCTTGCCGGCCCCCGCAGGCACACTGTTTCCCCTTTAAAGCTGTAAGTGTGGAAAACAAAAACCCTTCCTTTGGTTCACTTTCGGTATTTTCAGGAAGACTTTACTAAATCCGTGAAGGGGGGAGGGGAACAGAAGGGAAATAAACAAAGGCGTCAGGAGAAACAGAAGAGATTTCCTGCTTACCCAGTACCTGTGTCCGCGCCTGCCAATGCTAACTGGTTCCCAGGACTTTACAGATGCAGACTCTGCTCCCATCTTGCCTGAAGGATTTCTCTCTTCTCCCCAAAGGCCAGCAATGCTGCAGGCACTTTGTTCCAATTTCTGCCTCCTGGCTCCTGGCCTGTCTCTCTGATAAGAGGACCATCCTTTTCCATGGGAACCACTGTCGGGACAACTGACTCCCTCAAGATCAAAGCTGAGCAAAGGAGTCTAGCTTTGCTTCCCAACCCTAGAGCTTGCCCTAGGAACTGTATTAGCCTAGAATTGTTCCCACAGGATAACTCATCTTCCCCCTCACTCTGCACATAAATGATATTTCCTTCAATCCTGCAGCACCAAAAAACTGGAGTTGAAAAATACAAATACGGCATACATATCACTAGAACTGTGCCCCCTTCACCCGCCTCCCCACTTTCAAACAGAACACAGTTGCAATAAAACAATTTGAGACTGAATGTCTATCAAAAACCAAATTTATTAAATTCCCCCAAAACCTAGTCACTATAAACTCGGAATACACAGAGTATCCTCTCATAAGGAAAGAGACCAAGTATGGTTAGTGGAGGGAGGTCCCAGGTAGCATAAGAAACAATGTGTAGATTAGCAAGGTCATTACAAGGGTGAGTTGCCAGGAAGAATGATGGACGATGCCAACGGATTGGGGATGTGTCTTTACAGCTCGTGGCCTCCATACGTAACCAAAAGGTATTAGAAGGAGAAGAGCATTTAATCCAACCACTTCATCTGCTAGATGAGGAAAGCCTAAACCACAGTTTGAAGAAGAGGGGAGACACTAGGGAAAGAGAGGGGTACTATGAACTCTGGCCCAGTCTCTCTTTTCATTGTATTACAGTTGGGTTCCTGCACCCTATGCCCCAGCGCCATTCTTTCTGCAAAAGATACTTGACTATGCTTTACAGCCCATGTCCATGTGTTGTTCCCTCCACCTCACACACTTTCACCACCTTTCCGGTTGAAATTTTACTCATTCTTCACTGCCTGGTTCAAAAACTAACTTTTCTATGAAGCTCCCAGCAGCAGCAATCCCCACTCCCTTGGCAGTTCCTGCAGCATGTTCTCCAAATGGCGATGGTGGCAGGTATGGCAACCCTCACGGTTTTAAATGGTTTACTCAGTAGACACTCTCTTCTCCAAGGCCAGGAGCCTCTTCCTTCCTGTTTGTGTCTGTGCTTCTCCCCTGTGTTCACACCACAGAGCATACAAGGTGGAGGCCTGGGTGTGGGGAGTGCGAGCTGGAAGCAAGGGCAGCTGAAGGCAGAATCAGCTACACAGTGGGCAGGGCCTCATGCAAACATCACCGTATTTTGCTGTGTATAATGTGCACTTTTTGCCCAAGTTTTTGAGGTAAAAATAAGGATGCGCATTATACATGGGTATAATGACTACATTCCATGGGTATAATAACGGGTGGATAATGCACACAAAAACGTGGGTGCACATTATACATGGAAAAATACGGTATTTAGAGGCAGGGTGGCTACAGGAGGCGTGAGTCAACATGCAGAGTCTCCAGGCCCGTGTTCCGTCGTCCCATTGCATTTCACTTATAAAACACATAATCAGAGATAAAATTCTTAAGAATTTCAAGACGGCAACCACAGAGCATTGCACCCTGAGTTCAGTGGGGTCCCCTTTCTGAGTGTGAGACCCTGCGCCACTGTGCTGGTTGTACACCCCTGAGGCGAGCCTTGGCTACAGAAACTGAGATGTTCTATCTCAGTGAAATTGTTTGAAAAAGTGGAAATTCATTTTTTGTTCCAGAGGGATGGGCGAAGCCCACGGAGTACTGTAGGGCAGGGTGTCATGTTCGGAGTGGAGGACAGGAGCTGTGACTTGATCTGGCAGAGAGTGGCGGGAGTGGTCAGGGTTATCAGAAGAGATGTTTTCACTCATATTGCTAGGAATTGCCAAAGTATGATGAGCATAAAAAGCTGATGGACTTTCAGTTGATTTTATTATTGTTTTTAAATTCTCTACAGACAATACTGTTGTTTGTACCCTGGTGGACTTTCCTACCATCCCATCTCAGCGCGTACACCCCCAGGAGCCCCAAAGCTGCTGGGTTAGAAAGTAAGTGTTCTGACTCTTAGACAGCCCTGCCCCCTTCCAGAGTCCCAACACACAAACTTGGCACAGAGAAATCAGGCCACCACTGGGGGAGGAGGAGTGGGATAAATGGGAAAAAAAAAGTTAATAATAACTAAAGCTGCTCAATGCCCCTGAGAATAGGTCCGGCCATTTCTGGATCTGTGCTGTTTATTACCACCAAATCCCAAACCTTGCCAGGATACTCTGTAATCAACAGTGGGAGTAATTGTCTGCAGGCTGGTAAGTGTTCCTGCACTCTTTGCAAGGCTGTGTTAAAACCCAGCAGGCTTCCTGTGGACTCCACTCTATGATCTGCCTTCAGCTTTTTCCATGAAGAGCAAGACCATGAACGTTGGTAGGAGAACTCACTGAAACGCAATGTTGGAAATTGGAAGTGACCCTAGATAATCTCATTTTTACAAATAAGGAAGCTGAGGTCTGGCATGGTGGTGAATGGGGTCTTCTAAGGTCAGACTGCTAAACTACAGCAGGCAGGAATAGCTGACCCTCCGTCCTTCAGCTCACCAAAAAAATCATGTGGCTGGTGCCTGAGGGAGGTAACTGTGCCTGAGGGAGGCTACTGTGAGGGGCCAATGATGAAATCTATATGAGAGCTCTTAGCATAGTGTTTGGTACAGAGTGATGCCCTGGACATGTTAGTGGAACATAAACCTGAACTGTCTGTGGCAGCAGAGATGCTGTGTGCCCGCCCTCCATGCACTCACACAAAGTACCGGGGGACTAGTTCCCTGGAGAGGGGCTGTGGAGAAGGGATGGCAGTGCCAGCGCAACAAGACTCGGGCATAGCACGTCAGTGAACTTTTGGAGTTAGAGAGACGTCTGTGCTCCTTCTCTGGTGTTCACTGTAGTTTATGAACAACTAAGCAACTGCATCATCACGGTTCGCATGCCTCCCCTTTGATGATGGAGCCATGTCTATTTCGCCCACGCAAGCCTGATGCCTAGCACAGGGCAGGCCTCATTTATTGAATGAGTGCCTACTACGATCCAGATCTACCCAAGACACAGCTTACTGGCCCGCGATCTGTATGGATTTCTGCCAAGTCTGGTTTGGAAGCCAATCAACTCTGCCTTCTTTTCCCAAAGAAAATACAGGCCCTGGCTCTGAAGTAGGCCAGGGTCCCTAGGCTCTTCTTGGCTGTAATTGGAAAAAGACCTGTTAAATACCTCAGTAAAACCCC